TTTATAAGAGGGTTGATTATATATTTTTTAAAATTTTTTCTACTAAAATTTTATTATTTTTCATTAAAATAGACACTGGGTCTCGGGTCAGGCCTTAAGTGGGCTTTAAGAGGGCCAATGGGCCAGGCTATGAGCCGGATCGGATTTTAAAATGATGGCCCAAACTTAGGCCCAGAGGTTCGAGTTGGATTCGGACTCAGACCCAAATGAACTGGACCCATCCCAAGCCACGGGAGAATTTCAGACCATGAACAGCGGGTTATTTTTACGCCCCTAATTATCCCTTTGATCTGTGTTGACTTGTTTGATAAAATAAAGATTCAAATTTATCTCTAAGGCTCTGTTTGGCAAGAGCTAAACGGGACTTTTTGACTATTTTAGCCACAAAAGACAAAATAGGCTATTTTAGCCACAAAAAACAAAATATCACATCCAACCCATAATCATTACATTCTTGTCTCACAAAAAAAATCAAAAAAGCTAAAAAGGCAAAAAGTCCTTCCCAAACTAAACTTTTTAGCACAGGCTAAAATAGCCAAAAAAGTCAAAAAACTAAAAAGTCAACCCACTTCTCAAACAGAGGCTAAATGGAGTAAAAATTTAACTACTGATGGCATCTATATTAAGGGATTATTTGAGATGATCTAAATAAGTGTACTTTTTGACTTTTTATGAAATATGAGTTGAATTTGAGTTGAGTTTGAAATGATGTGTTAGAGAAGTTATATAACTTAAATAAAATGATGTGACTTAAATAAAATAATAACTTTTTAACTTTTTAATTTTTTTTCAAACGCGTCAAACTTAGCCTAAAGCTTCACCCATCACTTTAAAGGTTCACCCATATCTACTGACATCTATATATATATATATCACATCCATAACTACTGACATCTATATGACATCTATATTAATATCTATATTAAATGTTCACCCATAATTACTGATATCATCAATACACAATAAATTAAAGGTTCACCCATCACTTTCTAGATATGACATCTATATTAAAGTATAAATAGTGAGGGATTATTCAACGCTGGAACCGATGACGTAGTTACATTAAAAAAAATTTCCTCTAAATCATAAGATCAATGATTAGGCTCTGTAACACATAAAATTTTTAGAGATTAAGGCCTTATTTAGCCTCCGTTTGGAAAGTAGGTTGACTTTTTGACTTTTTTAGCTATTTTAGCCTGGGCTAAAAAGCTTGGTTTGGGAAGGGCTTTTTAGCTTTTTGACTTTTTTTGTGAGAGAAGAATGTAATGATTATAGGTTGGATGTGATGTTTTATTTGTTATGGTTAAAATAGGCTATTTTGTTTTTTGTGGCTAAAATAGCCAAAAAAGCCTGAAAAAGCCCTTGCCAAAGTTTGTGTTTCTCAAAAATTTTTAAGAAAAATTTTCTACAAATAAATTTTTAAAAGTAATTAAACTAAACAAATTTTTTAAAAAAAATTTTCCAAAACTTGTTTGGTTTACAAGTTTTCTAAACAAATCTCTCTCTCATACACATCAAATCAATCATTTTTCTAAAACTCTCTCTCAAAATAATTTTTCAAAACATCTTTTGAAAAAAACCAAACCAAACAACTTTTCGTACTTTTTATCTCTAAAACTCATCTCCCAAACTCAAACCAAACATACCCAAATTTTTGTCTTTAAAATTATAAATTTTGTTACAAAAAAATATTTAAAGACTAATTTCAATTATTTTGAGAATAATCATTAAAAGATCATATTGAAAAATTAAAAAATAAGCTTTTAGAAACAAAATTTTAAAAATATTACTAATAAATATGTTTTTAGAGACAAAAATAATTTGTTTCAAAATGATTTATTTATTCTGACAACACTTTGATCTTAAAAGGTTAATAATTTATCAATAAATACTCGATTTAGTCGCTAAAAATAAAATAATAATATTTTTGACGATAAAAATATTTTGTTCTTAAAATATAATTTTCACTCTAAATTTTTATTTCTAAAATTTTAATTTCTTGTAAGAAAGGAGTTTAGAAAGAGAATCAAGAATTATAACTTATAGAGAGAGGGATGGGGAGATGATTATAAATTTATAATGAGGGAGAGGTAAGGATTATGGGGTCAAGTTTGGCATATGGTTAAAAAGTTAAAAAGTCAAAAAGTTACTCAAAAAATTAAAAGTTATCACTATTCACCAAAAGTCAAAAAGTATAGTTGCACAACTCCCAATCTTAACTTTTCCCTATACATTAATTTATATAATTTTTTAATACACATTTTTTCATAAAAAGTCAAAAAATTAATCCAAATAATTATATTTTTTTTCTCAATTTTTAATCTAAAAAATCAAAAAATACACTTATTTTAAACTTACCAAACAACCCCTAAATGAAATTATCTGAGAGGCCATGTGCCCCTTCACTGCTATGCAATTACTCGTTACTCTTCTTTTGATAATCATCTAGGTTGTGGAGCTAGTGGAGTAATTTTTGTTCTTTCACAGTTTTCACAAAATGACCAAAATGTACATCTCTTGTTTTTCTTTTCTTTTGTTTTTTTCTTTTAAATTAAGGAGAATGACGAGTGCTCTCTTAGCTGGACTTCAGAGAGAGGAAAGAGATGCCGTCCGTCGAAGACATCGAATATATTAAGGGTTGGTTTAGAATGTTCTAAAAAAATATATTTTTTAATTTATTGATTTATATGTGTTGGGTTTGATGTGATGGGTTAGAGAGATGATGTGATTTAAATAAGATAATGTGACTTAAATAGGATAGTGACTTTTTGACTTTTTATATTATTTAGTATATCCCAAACCAAGGCCTATTTTGGCAACATGATTTGTAGTCACTTTTTTTTGTTAGTAGCAAAAGTCAAAAGTTGGTTTTTTTATTTTTTTTTTCATTTGGGAAGTTGGTTTTTAGCCAACGGTGAAATTACAATTTTACCCTCATGGGTCAAAATGTGTTACATATGTGAAGTTGTAAATATTTTAAATAAATGAGGGTAGTTTGGTCATTTTATTATGATTTGACATCATAAACAAATATTAACCAAAAAAGTCAAAAGTTACTTTTTACCAACTTTCCAAATCATTTGTCTAAAAAAGCCAAAAGCTTAGTTAAAAGCCAAAAAACCACTTTTCACCATCTTTCCAAAATAAGTCCAAGCCTAAGGGTTAGTTTGGGATGTTCTAAAAAAGTGTACTTTTTGACTTATTAGCTTATATGGGTTGGGTTTGGATTGGGTTTGATGTGATGTGTTAGAGAGGTGATGTGATTTAAATAAGATGATGTGACTTAAATAAGATAGTGACTTAAATAAGATAGTGAATTCTTGACTTTTTGTATTATTTAGATCATGCCAAACTTGGCCTAAATTTATCACAAATTAACATAGGCACTTTACTCTAAATTAACATAATTTTATTATAAAATTTTATAATATTAATCATAAAATATTAAATTTATTATAAATTAATGTAATAAATTATTCATTATTTTATAATTGATATTATAAAAATTTATAATTTGATTATAATATTTTTTATTACCTTAATTTATGATTATATATATTTTGTGATTAAAATTATAAAGTTTTATACATATGATTTAAAACTGAAGAGACAGAAACTTGAAAGAAAAGTAAGATAATGAAGAGAGAGAATGAGTCGGTGTCCAACGGCGGCTCACTACTTGCGTAGCAGGGTAAATTAATAATTGTCCATTATTATTTTACACTTTGTAATTAAAAATTATGACACTTGAATCTTCTTATTTATTAAATTATTTTACTCCCTTCGTCTCAAAATATTGGTCCTTTTTAAGGAATCTAACTTTTTTTAGTAGTACACTTATTGCATTTGAAAAAAGTTGATTTTTCAAAATTACCCTTTTGATAGTACATTTTTTGGAAATATCAATGTCATAATTGTACTTTTTAAATTATTTATTAATTTAAAAGAAGGGCAAAATAGGAAATTTACATTATTTTTGTACTTTATTTATAAAGAGGGACTAATATTTTGGGACAATAAAAAATAGAATAAAGGACTAATATTTTAGGACGGAAGGAGTAGTTTAAATTTTTATAACGAAAATATTTTTTCATCAATAGGATAAATTACACTTGGTTTAGACTATCACCTAATAGTAAATATTTTGTTAAGGATATACGTTTCTAAAATAGATAAAAAAGTAATTTGCCATTCATAGTAATGAAAAGTTTTCATTACAAAAATGTGAGGTTGATTATAATATAATTTTACTTATAATTCAAGAATTTTTTAGTTATACTTAATGTATGTTTGGTTATTACTCCCTTTTTTTAAATTATGACTCTACATATTTGAATTATGACATTTATAATAATCAAATTTACAAATATTACAACTTATATATACCTGTAGAATTACCCATATAAAAAAGGAAAAGGATTCCTCCTGTCCAAAATCTAGATTGGAGGGCACTGTTGGGGCCTGTGAGACCCTCCACAGGTCTTGTTTTGATAATCCGAACAATTCATTTTATTAGGTACTTTGTGTATTTCATTTGCACAAAAAAAAAAAAAGGTCAATGTAATAATCATAGTCTATTCAATTTATCGCATTTGTTATAAAAATAAAATAAAATTGATCGACAATTGTGTTTTTAAAAATAAACCATCAATTTTAAGAATTTGAATTATTACAACAAGACTCGTGGTAAGTCTCACAAACCCTAACGGCACAAATTTTGAACAAGAGAGGATATTCCTATAAGAATGAGTGTGTTACTAATATTATCTTTATTGAGAAATATTACAAATCTAAAAAAATATATTTAGAATTATCCAAAAATATTAACATATGATTCAGATTCATTGATTCAGATTCATTGTATACATAAGATACACAATTTTAATCCCTATCATCCAACTCATTCTTGACCAAAATTTGGGACCCAAAATGTGCATCCCTAAACTTTCTGATCTTTGTTAAATCTTTATTGACCAGCTTCAGTAAGTCGTCGTCGGCAATAAATTGAATTCCAATGTACTGTTGAGAAACAACAGAACTAATGAAAAGTCTGATCACCATAATGCATTCCTTGAACATCGCCAGAGTCTTTTTATTTCTTGGTTTGCTTTGCTTTCTTAGCCTCAGCATTCAAGTTAGCTCAGTACCTTTTGGATATGATTGCGCAGCTACAATCACTTACACTCCAAACAGCACCTACAAATCCAACCTCGACATCCTGCTCTCTGTTCTATCCTCCAACGCCACATTCACCTATGGCTTTTACAACTTCACTGTCAGCCAAGACTCTTCCAACGACGTAGTTCATGGCCTCTTTCTATGCCGAGGAGATGTGTCAGCCAATGATTGTCAAAATTGCGTATCAACTGCAAGCAAAGAATTAGTACAGTTATGCCCCAAACAGAAAACAGCCATAGCTTATTACGACGATTGCTTGCTACGTTACTCAAACCAATATATTTTCTCCATTCTGGATCAATCATTTCCACATGAAATGCATAACCCAATTAACATTACCAACAACCTTGACCGGTTTAGGCAGGTTTTGAGCAACATAATGGATGACGTAGTGACTCGGGCTGTAAAAGATCAATCGGGTAAGAAGTTCGCTACGAAAACAGCCAACGTTACTGCAGTTGATGAGTTGTATGGGCTTGCGCAATGCACACCGGATATATCCAGTAAAGATTGTAACACATGCCTTAGTGATGCCATCTCAAATCTCCCAATTTGTTGTGAGGGGAAGCAAGGTGGGCGGTATCTTTTTCCGAGCTGCAACGTCAGGTATGAGTTGTACCCATTTTACAATAACGCCACTGCACCGCGGCCACTACCACCTGTCCTTCCTCCTCCACCTTCTCCGGGTATTGCAAGGAATACAGGTAAACTTTAAATAGAAACACAACGTAAGTATCATTCACATATTTTTCGTTCGACTATCACATAAAGGGGTTTAGAGATCAGACTTTTTCATTCTTAAAAGTGAAAATTTTGTTACAAAATATTTTACAAGATCAACTCCAATCTCCAAAAAATTCAATAATAACAATAATAATAATTTTTAGCGACAAAATTTAAAAATATTGCTAATCAATTTATTTTTAGGGACAATCGACATCATGCCAAAAGGTTAATATTTTAGACGAATCTGTGTCGATGGTTACAATAATTTTAAAAATAAATTGTTGACAGAAATGTAATGTGATCAAGTGACTATTGATATCCGATCAATGTGAGTTTCTATAGGGATGAAGTACTCGACGAGCTCTACATATTAACGCTTTGGATCATCGATATAGATTTTGTGGTGAGGCCTACAGAGGCCTAACATGAAGCTCTAATTGGGAAATTCCAACTGGAGAGAAGCTGATTCCAAAAATGTAATATTGACATTGTTGACAATTAAGACATTTTGTCTCTAAAAAATAATTTTATCACTAAATTGTTGTCAGTGAAACCTCAATTACTTATAGTGAGCCCCGTTGTGGTAGCAGAACAAGCTCTTTATTTTTTTTGGGTTAAAGCAGAACAGGCTTTTGCTAGAGCATGAAATTACTAATTGTGAGATGAAATACTACTAAATATAGATCTTTAACAAAACTATTTCTATGGATGCAGGAAAGGGGGGAATCTCATCACAAGTACTGATAGCCATCATAGTTTTGACAGTGGTGTTTATATTGCTTTTCATTATAGGCTTATGCTTCCTAATTAGCAAAGCAAAGAAGAAATATGATGCTCTTCAAGAAGATACCAGTAAGCAGGAAAAATGAAAAAGAAACACATGTTTATGTTTGCTCTTGTTTTAACCATTAATTGTTGGAATTATAAATCTTCAAAAAAGTCATTAAATTTTTAATTTTTTGCTTGTTCAGTTGGGAACGAAATTGCAACAGTTCAATCCCTGCAATATGATTTGATTACAATTCAAGTCGCTACAAACAATTTCTCCGAAGAAAATAAAATTGGTAAAGGTGGCTTTGGTGATGTCTACAAGGTAAGAAGTTAGTTACATCTAATTGCACTTAGGCCTCGTTTGCCAAGTGGTGATTTTAGCCAAAAAACTAAAAAGTTACTAAAAAAAACGAAAAAGCCAACAACTTATACTAAAAAAATCAACGATTCCATTTTCTCTCAATTTTTTGCACATATTTTCATAAAAAACTAAAAAGTCAGCCCAAACATATTAGTTTTTTTTACATCATATTTTAGCCAAAAAGCCAAAAAGTTACTAAAAAAACATATTCCCAAACGAGGCCTTAGTTTCAAATATGCGAAATACAATCACCCAAAATTTTTGGAACTTGTTAAAGTTTTAATAGATATTATACATTCTCAGGGTACACTTCCCAATGGGCAAGATGTAGCTGTAAAAAGGCTATCTCAAAACTCGGGGCAAGGTGCAGAAGAATTCAAGAATGAGGTCGTCTTGGTAGCCAAGCTTCAACATAGAAATCTAGTGAGATTATTGGGATTTTGCTTGGAAGGAGAAGAAAAGATACTCATCTACGAATTTGTGGCTAACAAAAGCCTTGACTACTTTTTGTTCGGTTTGACATATCTAAACAACTGCACTTCTTCTTTTATTTAATTTCACAATAACACATGATTGCCATGAGCATAAACTCGAAAATGTTTATTCTTGGAAACAAGTAACAGAGCATAAATACTACACAAACATTATTGAAATATTAGAAATTAATTTTCAAAAATTAAAAAAAAAAATTAATGAGTTTTGAGGAGCCTATGCCAATTTTGATGCTATTTTATGTTTTCTTGTGCTTGAGTTTGCATTTGGAATTGAATAACAATAAAAACATAAATGTGCCAACTATATGTCCTTACTGCTAACTTCAGTATCCATTATGCTCGTTGTTTAGATCCAGAAAAACAAAAAGAGTTGGACTGGCCAATACGTTACCAGATTGTAAGAGGGATCGCTCGAGGAATTCTTTATCTTCATGAAGATTCCCGACTTAGAGTTATTCACCGTGACCTTAAAACAAGCAATATTCTCTTAGATGAGGAAATGAATGCAAAAGTTTCAGATTTTGGCTTAGCAAGAATTTTTGGCATGCATCAAACTCAAGCTGATACAGATAGAGTTATTGGAACATAGTAAGTGTTCACATCCCTATATGTGCTCCCTATTTCTCTTAGTGCATTCATAATTTCTCCATTGAAAGGTAGAGTTTTCAGCAAAATAAAGAAAAGTAAAAAGATAGGCGTCTCGTTCACTTTTAATAAACAAAGAAAAAGATATTGTTCCCATTCCTGACTACTTCCCAATGTTATTAATGTTTGCATCAATTGCTCTTTTTTTTTTTCTTTTTTTTTTTTGAAGTATATTGATGATATTGTGTTTAGTGGTTACATGTCACCAGAATATGCAATGCATGGCCACTTCTCTGTGAAATCAGACGTATTTAGTTTTGGAGTCATAGTTCTAGAAATTATAAGTGGCAAGAAGAACAGTGAGTTTTACCAGTCAGACTATGCTGACGACCTTCTAAGCTATGTGAGTTAAAATAATAATTCTAATAATTAATTTCTTTCATTGTGAATATTATTAGCTCTACAAGTGATATATCATGAATTATTACAGGCTTGGAAACTCTGGAAGGATGAAAGACCCTTGGAAATGATGGATCCAACACTAGAGGGGTCTTATTCAAGAAATGAAGTCACTAGATGCATTCATATCGGCTTATTGTGCGTCCAAGAAGATCCAAATACTAGGCCGTCCATGGCAACAGTATTTCTAATGCTTAATAGTTACTCCGTTACTCTATCATTTCCTCAAAAACCTGCATTCTTTGCACGTAATAGCATAGGGACGCCTACACAAAAACGTCTAGAGTTGTATCAGTCTACAAGTATGTCAATACCATCGTCTGTGAATGAAGTTTCAATTACTGAACTGTACCCTAGATAACTTGATAATTCCAGACCAAGGCAAGGTTCAGGAATAGTTCTATGGTATGAAAGAATAAACTCAAAACTTGGCATTCATCCTGGTAGGATTTTGTAGCTAGTTCACTGTAGCCTCCAAAAAACTGGCCCTAGGGAAAGCAGGCAAGGCGACCTTAGGTCTCCAATTCTGTCTAGAAAATAAAACTCTCAAATAATTTTTACTCTTATCTTCTGTTTGTAGTTTTTTGAAACGAAGTGAAATTATAAACATTCTATCATAATATTCATTTTCACGTTTAATTCACTAAAAAAAGCAATAATAAAATATATAACACAAACAGAATCATCATTTACCATTGTCAAATAATAGCCGTTATATATAGAGGTTAAGTATTGACCATTCCATTCTATTCAATTTCATTCCAGTAAACCAAAAATATTACATTATAGTATTAGTAGTTTAAAAATAAAATTTTATCGAAAATTTTTAAAAACAATTGAACTAATAAATTATTTAAAAGTAATGGATGGTTGTTTGCAAAATGTATTGGATTGTATATAGAATATTATTGACTATACTAGTTACAGTTGCCTCTGAAGAAATAAATTTGTTTTAAATTGAAGTTGATCAAATTTTATATTCAATCAGTTATGTCAAAATCTATCGAAAATGCTAATAAGTTAATAATAAAAATTATATGAAATTGCTTTAAAAATTCAATATATTAATTATTGTGAAAGACAAATTATGATTAATTTACTTACTAATACAATATTTTCAAATTAGATTTGTCACCAAATGGTTTAAGTGATTTCCGTGCAAAGCACGAGTAAAAAAAATTAGTAATTTTAGTGTTTACATGTGAAAGTAAATTTTGTGTAAATACAAAGCAAAAAATAAATAAAAGTGTAGAGTCTATTATGTCAAACAATTTATTTATTTGTAGAAGGGTGTGTATTATAAATTGGGCAAATTACACCAATAGTCCCTATATTTTGATCCTTGCATCATTTTAATCTCTGTAATTTTATTTGGCTCGATTTTGACCTGAATTTACAATAATTTTTTCTCAATTTAGTCCGATTGATTACAACTGTTTGTATTTTTTAATAGGAAATGTGCATACAAGTAACATATATTATACTTTTTTGGATAAAATTATAAACTTACTCAACTTAGTAAGTTAACTTTAACCAATTCCATGATCATTTTTCGTAAAATACACTAACGGTATTATTAATTAGATTATAAATTGACATAAAATCTAAAATTAATAATCAAAATTGAGACAATTAAAAGTGTAGGGATCAAAATGAGATAATAAACAAAATGTAAGAAATGTCGATGTAATTTGCCCTATAAAATTTCTCTAAACAATTATAGAATAAACTCAAATTCGGACTTAGAATGATGTTTTTTGAATTTTTGAAGGATTCAAAACTCAAATTTATTTTCAAACTTCTGGGCGTTCACTTTTCTATCATTGGCACAAATAAAAAAGGTAATAGCTTCAAAAATTCAGTCCTTCCAAGTCCTTCATTGTGTGCCTTCCTTCCCTCGCAACCCCTCCAAGAGCAAATTCCATAAGATAAAAGGGTTTCACATCAGGTTACACTTCGTCCATTTTCACGTTTAAACAGACTTTCAATATATTTTTATCATATTGTTATAAAAACTACTGATAAATATGATTTTTCGAAAACACAACTGCTAATGTATTTGAAAGAAATAGGATAATTTACGTTTATAGTCCCTGTATTTTGGTCTTTCTGTCACTTTGGCCTCTATAATTTTAATTGGCTTGATTTTCATCATAAATTTTTATTTTGTCTCAATTTAATCAAATTACTTACAATTTTAGCATTTTTTAATAAAAATATGCATATATGTGACATATGTCATGCTTTTCAAGGTAAAATTATAAACCTATTAAATTCAATTAGTTAACTTCAACCAATTTAGTGATAATTTTCTATCAAAAACACTAATGTTGTTATCAATTGGACAAAATTGATACAAAATTTAAAATTAAGGGTCAAAATTAAATTAATTGTAAATGTAGAGACCAAAATGACACAAAAGGCAGAATGTAGGGACTATAGGTCTAATTTTTCCAAATAAATATAAAAAAAAAAGACAAATTATAAATACACACTCTGATATTTGTTTAAAATACGGATTGCCACGTGTGCTTTTAAAAATTATAAATATTCCCTTGTCAGAATTTTATTTAATAGTATTAACAGAAAAAATAAAATGTCTAACTACTTTCATATACAATAATAAATTCTCTAAATTATTAAGTAAAATATATTTCCAATACCATTAAAAATTATTAATTAAATTCATTATTTATTATTAATAAAATGGGTCATTTGTTATGAGATTAGAAATTTGAAAGAGCGGGATGTAATTTTCAGAATCACAAGAATAATCTGTATTTTAAACAAATCTTAAATAATATATTTATAATTTACCCATAAATATTATGTAACTATGATTATTAGATTAATATGAATTTTTTATAGGGGCGCAAATCGATCAGGCCGGGTTGGGCTCAATAGTTACCCAACCCCAGCCAAGTAACGTTTAGAGTTGCCCAGGCCCAACGTCCTAGTTCAGGGTGTCCATTCAAAGTCCAGTCCATGTTTAATGAATTTATTAGATCCGGTTGTCCACGAAAGTTTGAAATGAGATTTTGATTATTTTTCGGATGAAAATTATAATTGTTTTGGATATGATTTATAAGCTAGTTTTTTTTCTTATCACGAAAAAATGTGTAAAAAAATAAAGAAGTGATGTAATTTAAATAAATGAATAAGCTAATAAAATGACTTTTTTTTAGATGTTGCCAAAAGAACATGTTTGGGCTTGTTAACTTATCTTGGATCAATTGTAGTGCTCTTTTCATCAATTGAATACTTTAAAAATGGTTTTGGAAAAACTGTGCCAAACTTGTGACATTTAATTCATTAACCAAAAATTTTTAAAAAATAATATGAATAAAAAATCAAATAACCAACGATAGTAATTTGGCACAATCCAAAAAATAAAATAAAATAAAATTTCATCACTTCAATCCTAAAGAAAATGAGAGAGAGGAGATCTAATGGTCAATTTGAGAGGAGAGGGTGATATATTTTTTTTAAGGGAAAGCTTATGGTGTGCACCCCAAAGGGAGTGCATATCATATGTACCATATTATAAATTGGTATAATTTTATCATAAAAATTTCGTAACATCAATTATAAAATGTATAATTTCACCATAAATTAACAGAACAAATTGTCCACAATTTTATGATTGATGTTACAAAAATTTATGACATTTTTTGTTACTTTAATTTATATTGAGATTACATATATTGTGATTGAAATTATGAAATTTTATAATAAAATTACTTAAATTTGTAATAAGGTGCATGTAGGATGCACTCTAACGTTGTGTTTGGTTGGGAGATTTGGAGAGAGATTTGGAAAGGGAAAGGGAAAAGGTATGTGAAACTAGATGAAATATAGGTACGTTTTATTCACATTTCACCTACTTTTTCCATTTCTCTTTCCAAATTTCTCCTCAAATCCTCTAACCAAACACGGCATAAAGGGTACACACCATAGAGTTTGCCTTAGACTTTGAAATATGATAAAGTAGTGCAACTTTATATTTGTGTAAAATTTAGATAATGTAAATCTTAAAAATTGCTTGATCAGAAAGTGTAATTGAAGCCTCGTTTGGCAAGTGGCTGTTTTAGCCAAAAAGGCAAAAAGTCACTAAAAGCTAGCAATTTATACCAAAAAATCAAAGATTTCCTTTTCTCTCTACTTTTTGCACATCTTTTTGTAAAAAATCAAAAAGTCATCACAAACATACTAGTTTTTTTTTACATCACATTTTAGTCAAAAAATCAAAAAATTACTAAAAAAGCTTATTCCCAAACGAGGCCTGAGTCTAATCTCAGAGTGATTTTTCATAATTTTGAATATTACTCTACACTATTTATTTTGTAATACTTAATTTTATTATTTTTTAAAAACTAACATAAAACTAGTGGGTCTTATTATTTCAAGGCCACAGCTTCTCTGCATTCAAAGCGTAGTCCATATTTAATAAATTTTGATCCGTCGTCCACGAAAGAATGGAATGAGATTTTGATTATTTTTCGGGTGAAAACTCGTATGTTTGGGTTTGTTAACTTATCTTGGATCAGTTGTAGTGCTCCTTTTATCAATTGAATACTTAAAAAGGGTGATGCTATTTGCAAACAAAAACTCATTGGCTAAACTATCAATAGATCTTAGTGATTGGATTTAATCACTACAACAAAATGCACTTTTGGCGAGCAAAATTGGAGACTAAAAAAAATTTAGTCACCAAAAGTTGTAGAAATGGTGACTAAAAATTTTTTTAGTCGGCAAAAGTAAAATATTTAGCTACTAATTTTTTTTAGTCAGGGTATATTGCTTATTGGCAACTAAAAAAAAAATTTAATCTCCAAAAATGCCAGAATTGGCGACCAAAAAAAATTTAGTGACCGTAAATAGAGATTTGGCTACTAAAACGCTTTAGTCGCCGATTGGAAAATAAAAAATTATTTTTTACCATTGGTGACTAAAATTTTAGTCGCCAAAAGTTTATTTTCAGTGATGAAAAATAATTTTAGTCACCTTAGGTAGAGATTTGGCTACTAAAACACTTTAGTCGCTGATTGGAAAATAAATAATTATTTTTTACCTTTGGCGACCAAAATTTTAGTAGCCAAAAGTTTATGTTCAGCGACAAAAAACAATTTTAGTCGCCAAAGAACTAAAATTATTGGAGGGAGATATTTTAAATAGTTTGGAGGATTTATGAAATACTTTTAGCGACTGAAAACTTTTAGTCGCCAATGGTGTAATATGTATATTTTGGTTTCCAAACCACAAACCAACGCCTCTTCTCTCTTTCTTCAGTAGTTCTCCCTCTGCCTCTCCCTCTATCACCATTGACTGTCACTACCACTGTCGCTGGCCACTGTCCGTCCCCACCGTCGCACGTCACCACAGCCATCGCCGAAATCACCACCAACACTGCCGCAAATCACAGGTTTCTCACTGTTGCGTTCGGTCCTCTCCCTCATTGTCGATCTGGGTCTCTCTCTCTGTGTCAAGTCATTCCCTCTCTCTCTGTTTCTATCTCTCTCTCCCTTCCCCTATTTCCCTATTTCTCACACTTCATCTAGGGTTTATATGATTTTTTTTAGTTTAATTTTGTATTGATTTCGATAATGGGTTTGGTTGAAGTGT